ATGAGTGTTGTGTATTCGTAAGGATAAACTAAGAAAACGATGTATTGGTTGAAGTGTGTTGATTTCCGTATGCGACGCAAACAAAACTACAATTGTATGAGAGGTCACCGTTGTAATTCCTCGAGGAATAATTTTTGCCATCCGTAGATATATATGCCTCATCCAATGTTAGAGGTTGTATTAAATCTCCAAGTTTTGTGTGCAGGCAGAGATCGCCTCTGGGAAATCCAGGGTTTTTGACTGGATTGTTATTCCTGTGCAATCTGGTAACTAACCCAAAGCGGGGAGCTCGTAGAGCGTCAGTTTTGTTTGTACGCAGAAGGTCATGAGTTCCCTTATGTGTATGGTACCGGTAGTGTGGAGGTGCCTACATCGTTGCCATATACTGCCCCTTTGTCGGGAGATGAGAAGAAAGCCGCTGCCAAATCCTCGGAAAATGGGTACGTTCCCAATCGACAACGCAGCTGCAACGTAGCATTCACTAGGACTTTACCCGAGAAACCCAATCGAATATATTTTAGGCTATCAAGTGTACGTAGGAGATTGGGTACTTCGGCAAGGTTTCAACTTTTATCCAAGTAGGCAATACCAGTCATACCTGTATCTTCCACGCGTGCCGCAGCAACTAGAACTGGCATTTCATTCCTAAACCCCGTGCGACTCGCAGGATATGACTCACCCACGATTGGTAGGCGCCACAACATGAGGGTGCCCAGGCTGTGGCACCTACTGTGGTTTCAATCTTCGGCAAGCCATATTCTGCGAGTCGCACGGGGATTTGTGTGTAAACATGTGTACGACGCGCGAGATCCATTGGGCTCCTTGGGACATCCTTACGCTGTTGGATCTGTCCATTGTCCCAATCATGTCCAATATACAGTGCATACATGCGTTGAACAACGGGTTTAGCTCAGGCAACAAGCAGCTCAAGTTCGTGCAATGCGTGTCGCTGTTGCGAATTTGCCATTCGAAATTGAAGACTCGTGGGAGCCGGCGGCCAATTTGTTGGAAGACATTCCAATTGAGTTCAAGCGCTACGTGCGCTCAAACAAGGCCGTTTCCCAAGTCAAGACGAA